TATTGCTATAGAATTAATGTGATTTTTATTTATGCCTTTTCATATTTGTATTTTTGTTGAGCACTGGGTCCCAACGTTTTCAGATATGATTAAAAAAAAGAAAAAAAGAAAACAAGTTCACTTGAGGTTAGCAGCTTCTCTTGATTCTCCCCCCCGCCTTATTTTTCTTCTAAAATCTAAATTCTGAAAGAACTGATGGTGCAGAAGCCATGTGCAAAATGTTGTGTGGCAGTTCTGCAGCTTGAGCAGACAATCTGTCCTCCTCACTTTTTTGGTTAAAAATAAAATAAAACCAAAAATATAGGTACTATTCAGTCCACCTGTCAAACTGCAAGCTAATTTCCATTCTGCTGTACAGCGTTCCTTTCCTAGCTGAAGTAGTACTAAAGTTTTACTCCATGTTGTTTAAACAGTATATGTTTGATTCTGATTTTTAACTGCTTCATGGCTGACCTCTGCAGTTACACCCACTGGGCACATCTACATGTGCATTTACGCACGACTGAATTTAATGCAGAATAAGCTAATACACATTAAGTGCTTTTTGGCAGGTGTCTACACATGCAGCAACTTGGCACTAAAGTTAGTGCCAAGTCCCTGCAGCCTTGCCACGTGTCCCTAATGGCTAGGCAGACCTGGCACTGAAGTCAGTGCTGGGTCAAATCTACACATGCGTTAATGCGCTTTAACTAGTGGCACCTAAATTTAATATCTGCATTTGCAAGTATCAAATTTAGGCACAGTTAGCCTAAATTCGCCATTTTTAACGTGCATTTAGGGTGTGCACGTGTAGACGCGCACCCTTAACGCGCGTGAAATTAGGCTAATACACATGTAGACGCACCCACTAAATTCTACTGTAGTTCTTCAAAAATTTAAAAAAATGAATTTTAATTAAATGACTTGCAGCTTGTTGCCAAGAGGTATCATTCTCATTTTTAGAGCTGAGCAGATTGGGGGCATCTGAGCCACAAAACAGCTTACAGATTCACCCGAGACTTTGAGGGACCCTTTGTGAAAGCCAGAATCAGATTGTAGACCACTATGAACCTCTCTGGACACTCCCGTGCCAGCTTTCCCTTGACATTTTGGTGGAAACTTCAGTGTGCCTGTGGATTGGAGTGAGGCTTTCTGTCTGTCCCGTGTATTAGTTGTGCCATGCAGCAGTGAAGCTGCTGAACTGTTTTATTAGGGTCCTAGCAAGAGGAAACCTAGGTTCACCATGCCTGCTGGATGGGAGTTTGGTGACAAAAGTCACCAGAGTTGGAGGATCAAGTGAACCGGCAATGTGAATTGGATCCTGGGAAAACCATGCTTCCACGGGGTCGGTGGGTTGGCACTTGGACGTAGTTTGCTCACCTCCCTGTGCAGTTCTCTGATACTCAGGTTGTTTTTGCTTCTTGCAATAAAGACTCAGTGCAGCAGGGTCCAGTCTCTTTAAAAGAGAGATGATAATGCTGTGTTTCTTCCCGTGCGAGTGGATTTGCACGAAAAGTGAGACCGCATCCACCGGCGTATGCTGTAAAACCCCAAAGACGCTGGGGCATTTCATGCAATGTTTCCTGGTGCTGAGTTGGGCTCTAGTAATGGATAAAACGAATTTCTGTTGCCTTGTGACAAATTGTAGTTACCTGTCCTTCATAAATTAACAACTGCTGTTACTATATTTCAAGGCTCTTTCTGTGTCCCTATTGTGTGGTCTTGTTCATAGTTTTTTGAATTCCAAACAAATGTTTGTTGCCCTCTGAGGCAGATGCTTGGGAAGCAGCATGGGATACTTTCAAATCTTCCAAGGCAGCTGATATCCCTGTATTTGGTACAGCATTGCTGAAACCTTCGAGAGGCTCGGAAGTGACATGCTAGCAATGATTTTCAATTGGCCACTAATTAGAAAAGCATTGGACTAATTGGATGAGCTATACTTAGTAAGGGTCTGCCGTTTAGATGGTTAGTCAGGTCCCAGAAACAAATAAATGCCTGTCCATATAGACAGGGATTTCTAGCTGTGCTCCCATAGCTGGCTGCTTAAACTGTACACGTGTCTGTATGGGTATGTACCCCCCATCCCACACATACACGATCCCTCCCCAATTATTAAAGCAATCACTAAGTGCCAAGCTTGGGTTTTCGAGGCTGGGAACCCCTGGGGACAGCTCATTTGCTCATAGACTAATGACGTCTGCGGGTAGGGTCTGTGCAGAAGCGGGCGTTTCTTTTCATACCATCACAGAGAAGCTTTCGAATCCAGGGAGCAGCCGGGACAGAAGAAAATGGGTCTGAAGCTTTTGAGGAGGGAAATGACTCAGAGATCTTGGTGGCTTAGCAAAAATGAGAAGCCGAGCTTCCAAGGAGTTGTCTTGGCATAAGATGTGCATCAATTATCATGCTCCACCTCCAGTCAAATATCGACGTGCTTCGCTTTGGGAACTGATACCAGTGCAGTGCCTGTGAACATGCTGCTCTGTAGTGCTGTACTCCTGCCTGAATTTGCTGATTTATCTTCTGAGTTTTGTACTGCATACTTCATGGACTTGAGCTGTGCATTCATGAGGGGAGGAAGTTTTGATTCAACTCTAATCATTTAGGTGCACGTGGTTGCAACCGTTGCCTTTTATTTTCCCTAACTGAAAAATGGGTATCGGTTTGTTATGCTTTATAAACTGTCCTTTTCTTTTATTAAACACCGGACTCGTACTATATGAAGGATGCTATATATATATTTAAAAAAAGACCACTGCACCTGCATTCAGATAGGGCCAAGTGGATTCTGGAACGAACTGCCTTTACAGAACTTGCTAGGGGATGTTTGCATTGGATTGGGGGGATCCCGTGGCAGTCTTCATATTTAAGGTCTAGGGAGAAAACATTCATTTTTTGCTGGTTTTAAATGGCTAATTCTTTTTTAAATGGTAGTGGGGGGGGGAGTGCAATACAAGACATTAGTGTCGTCTTTGACCCTTTCCACCTTGCATATCTCCCCATTCGCTCGCTCCTGATTGACTGACCGGTATTGCCTTCCCATTAGCAGGCTCTACTCAAGTTAGTAGGGAATGCATTAATGTCAGGCCTGCTTCTGTTCTGGAAATACGAGCCTGTCGAAAGGAGCATGAGCTAGCATTTTATCTTTTCTCCGAGGATGAGGAAGCGTCTGTAAGAAGTCGTCCTGTCCGCTCCCTCCGTTCTGGTTTGTATGCAATACAGTGGAAACTCCCCCGGCGAGCTGGCCATGGTGCCCAATGTGACTAGTCACAGAACCTGCATCTGTTTTCGGATGTGAAGTCAGGTGAGCCGTGCAAGATTACGTTAGCAAATTTTGCTTCTGGTCTTGCAATTGCGTGAACCGTGGCAGGGGGAGAGCTGAGAGAGAGCCTGTCCTTCAGGCTCATCAAGCAACGAAAAGCTGTGCGGTTAAGTCCAGGCTCCCTTCCCTTTTGTTTTGTCCTCAAGAAATTCCTTAAAATCTAAGGAGCTCTTGTTATGGGATGGAAAATTAGCTTCTTTTCTACCGTGGACAGTGCGACACCAGCAGAGTCTCCCTCTGCCTGAAGAAGGGCATTTGTCCCTGAAAGCTTGCGAAGAACAATTTTTTCCAACTATTTAGTTGGTCTAAGAAAAGATATCACGTCGATCCAATGAACCTTGTCTGCCAAGGAACTCTTGTGTCATTTGCAGCCCCTTTCGTGTCACAGGCCTCGGTGGACTCAAGTGCCTGGGAGCCCACTGGGCAAGTATTGCTGTGCTAGCTGCCTCTTTCTTGCTTGTCTTGGCTATTAAAACACTGGTCTTATATGTCCACTGGCTCATTGGGTACAAGAAAAACTAAAAGCAGCTGGAAACCTTGAAATCATTTATTGCCTTTTTTGTGGTGCCCGTGCCTACAGCAAGTGTGCTGGTGGTCAGAGGGATGTGCTGTGGGCCCTTTCTGAAGACAAAACGAGACTCCTTTAAAAAAGGGAGCCCCTATCATCTAATACCAATCTTCTCACCCTTACCCCTCTCCAAATTGCCATGCTGGATTAGCCGAAGGGAGGGCAAGTGGCTGGATTGTGACACAGCTGCAGAACGTCTCCACAACGGCTCCCGTTGTGCTGGTCGTTGCTGGTGTGTCTTTCGTGTGCTGGCTCTTGCACCTCGGGGAAACGGCTGGTCAGAAACCAGGACCGCTTCCAACTGCAACAGGTGTTTGGATGGAGCAGAATTGTCGAAAACATTTGGGCTCTGTGCTGGAATGTTAACCGAACGGCGCACTGCGATTTCTGCAGTGCGTGGCAAGAAATAAAGCGGCGTCTAAATCTGTATAAGAACTTTGACTACTAGATCGATCTGAGCATAATAACGACGTTGCATCTGTGCTCGAAAAAGCAAGATGTGTAATTCTCCAGTTTTAGAAACTGTAATGTGGGAATGGGTTGGATATTTTTGCTTCCCTGTTCTGTAACACTTGGATCGAGATGGCCAAATCTGAGAATCGCTACCCACTTTATGACCATCTCTTATTGCTTGCAGTTAGTTGTATGCAGAGAGGTTAACGCTTCACCACTTAGAATTAGAAAGATAAAAGCCAATAAACATGCTTTTGGGTCCTTTGTTTCAAGCGTGCAGTAGCCAGCACTGGGCATGTCTACATGTGCATGAATGCGCTGTAATTACAGCACGTAAAGTTTAGTATCTGTAATAACAGGTACTAACTGCTCCGTAATTGGTGCCGGTGCACGACTCGTACGTGACATTAATGCGCAGTGGACTAATTCTGCTGTGCACTAGCGCATTAGCACCGCTTTCATTGTGACGTGCTAATGCACAGTAGAATTGGTCTACTGTACTTGTGCCATCTTGTGTAGATGCACATACTTTCTCATCAGCTTACAGGAATGAAAATAATGGCTCAGGATAATACGTTTCAGGGGGAAAACTTATATATTTCTGGTGGGGTCTCATCAAAAAAACATTTACAGTACACCTCATCCAGCATGAACTAAAATACCTTTCCTTCCTTCCAGGTTCCTTATTGCAGTCACACTTGCCAGCCAGGACCGCCAGAGAAGACTCCCTTTGGAACCCATGAACTTCTCTGACAGGTAAGAGGTTTTTTTATTGTACAGCAAGTTTTCCGCAAGCACCTCTCAAATATTGTCCACTTCACAGGGGTGTTAAATTCTGTGCGTCTCAGTTCCCCATTAGACAAAAAAAGTTTAAGCAATTTGTCCCAGGTGACAAAGGGGTGCAGAACTAAGCGCTGGATCAGGCTCTTCCCAGTCCAATGCCATGACCATACGGATATCCTATCTCTCTAGCTGTCCCCTCTCCATGGTATAGGAATATCTCTTTTGGACAAACTGAAGTTTCAGTGGTTTGTCCTTTTCTGCTTCTTCCACTTGGACAAACCACTGCAGTTGCATGGTATTTTCTTGTATTAGTAGCATGAGAAATGGGAAAACAAGCACCTAAACCTCCCAGCCCCAGTCTTGATGCATTTTGCTCAGAATAACTAATGTAGGATCAAAGAAGATGCAGTAGGACTTCTGGGCTCTTAGCTGTACCGGTGACTTGGCTCTGTAGCTCTGAGCGGGTCATTGAAACATTTTGATTTGTTATTCTCCATGTATTAGGGGCATTCCCCTACTTTTATTTAGTTCATATTAAATTATTTGAGGTTATAAAGCCCTGTTCAGCAATTACTCTTCTTTGTGCAGGAGTTCAGGTTCGAAATGGAGACGTTGTCTTTAAGATTTGTCCATTTGACGCTTGTTCCCCAGTCTGGTTTTGCCGTGTCTAAGATGTTGGTGATTCTGGTTATGAAACCTGGGACTTTGATTTACTGTGAACTACTTCATGCTGTTGGAGTTAGCAACAGGGCCTGTTTTTGTTAGAGAATGTAATCCTCGGCTCTCAGTTACCAGGGCAAACCTTAGCCACTCAGGCTATTGCTAGGTTAAAATGGCTGAGACCTGTCATCTTAACAAAATAAGTTTCAGGGATTTTTTTTCGCACACCTGACTGCAGGTGCATTACAGATCGTTCTGTTCCCAGTTCAACCAAGCACATGCCAGATGCTGTCATCTGTAAAATAAAGATCATTCTCATATTTCCAGTGACTTTAGCTTTGTACCAAAGCCAATTTTAAAGCCAATGTGATGGTACAAGCAAGCTAACAATCCACATGATGTGATTTCCCCCTGCTGCCTTGAGCTGCCAAATCCTGGAGGAATCTCCCATGAAGGCAGCCCTTTTCCCAGGTGTCTGCACGCCCTCTCCTTTCTGTCTTCATGTGCATCTGCTACAAGGTCTTAAACACACAAACTTTATAATAAATAGTGACCTTTCAATGAATCCTAAATATGTTACCTGCCACAGAGTCCTCGGTGATACTAATGCCATATGCTTGAGTCAGGCAGAATTCACATATGCAGAGAAATCTGCTCCACCGACAGGTTCATTCCCATATTCTCATATTCTAAACTACAGCATGCTAGCACGTTGATTTTGTAGTAATACTTTGACTCCACTTTTGCCCTGGCATTTTTGCTATATTTGCCTACTCCTGCAAGAGTCTGTTGAGATGCTGATTGCTTTGATCTCCCATACAGTGAATGGATGGACATAATGCGCTGTCTTGATAGTGTGCTTCTCCAATAGGGAAGTGTGAGTTTAAAATTGTAGGAAAACATTTGACACGCTTTTTTTTTTGACATAGACCTTTTCAAAGCACAACATTTTTAGCGTAAATTTCTTAAAAAAGCAAAAACCCAACTGTTCAGAAAACCTTAGTGTTTGTAACCTGTTCTCCTTGGTCATTAAAAGATACCGGTAGGGAATTCCTCATCTTCAGCTTGTGAAAGAGAAGAAAGGTAATCCATTGACACAAATTGGGCAATGTAATCTCTCTCTTACAGTACCTGCTATAGTACAGATTTAGTTGTGATGCCTTTGCTTTTTATCCTCTGCATCCCCCCTTGTAAAATTTGGTTGAACATGAAGATATCCACAAGATGGTTGGGGGTGAGGTGTTCTCTGATAAAGTTGCTTTCTGCACACTGCTGTTTCCAGCTTCCCGTGCTGTATGATTTTTAACTACAGATATAAAATTCTCCTGGGCGTCGTGTATAGAGCGGTGAGCTTGTCCTTGGTGCTTTTACCAAACAGAGAAACAGTATGGGGGTGGAGATGTCCACGACGTGAAAATCATAGGTATGAATCGCTGTCTTGGCGTAGGAAAACCCCTCTGCTCATTCAGACCCAAACCAAAGAGTCCGTGTGAGCATGCCAGAGCCTTTTGAGAGTGTGTTTATGAGTGTTGATAAGATGTCTTTTCAAAACATCTTGGGGAAATGCCTCTTAATGATGCGAGTTGAAAACTGGATAGCTGGAATATCAAGGCACTTCCTAAAGTTAACATACAGTTTAGCGGGTATCAGATGGATTCTTCAACTGAAATGCAAAAAAATTGCTTTGTCTGATAAAGATGCTAAAAACAGAAGAAATCTAGTTTTCTGTTAGCAGTAATTCCATACCTAGATGCTTGGTAGAGTATAACTGCTTCTCCCAGATGTGAAACCAAACTGTGTTTTCAATATACTATTTCAATTTTGGGGAGGACGTGCCAGTGCAATATGGAGAACAGAATGGGAATGTGGGTTGTGGTATTGTGAATTCTTCAGGGGTTTCAGCTATATAAGTTTCATTACCACTAGTGGATAGAAATTATACAGCTGAAGATCTGATCTTGATTTGAGAAGATACTACTTAGTGTGTCTGAGAACTTTTATTGTTTTTTGGGAGGGTTTTTGGGGTTTGTTTTACTTGTTTAAATCATCTGCTGAATTGCTTCATATCTGGGCGCACAGTGCTTATTAGCAGTCTGCGTCATGTTGCCTAATCACTATGATGAAACTCTAAAACCAGTTCTGAAAATAGAGAAAAGCAAGGTATGGAATGGCTGGATTATCATAGATGCTTGCTCCAAAAATAAAGCAGCGAGGTTACTGTTGTGAAGCTTTGGTCTGAATTCTGCCCTAAAAAGCATGCAACCCTGCAGCACGCTTTCCTTTTGCTAATTCGCTGGACCGGCGTCGCTGCAATGTTCTCTGCCATTATCAAAACTGAATTGCTACCTGCAGGTTTCCTACTTTGCTACCAAACTGGTGGCAACTTTTCTTCTCTTCCCTTTTTTAATGCATCAAATGTGCATGGCAACTTCCTGAGTTGTTTTATTTGGGGGGTTTTGTTTTGTTTTGTTTTACTTGCAAGTACTTTAATGAGCCTAAACCAGCTCATTTAGCCTGCCCTGAAAACTATCACAATTCCTAGTGCAAAAGGTGCAGCAATTCCCTGAGCAGACTGGTGTGCTCACATTGGGCTCAGGCATGCTGGGAGCACGGGGCACAAAGGGTTAAGGTCTGCCATTTTGTTATGTAACACCCTTAATGGACATATCAGTGAATGGCACCAAAATGGCAGGGCTTAACCCTTTGTGCACTGCATGCCTCACACTCAGCTGCATGCTGCTGGCAACTCAGGCTTGCTCTTCCCCACTAACCATGCATTGATTATTATTAGTATTAGGATTACTCTTATTTTAATTAAGAGGAGCAAATGGCCTGCTCCCCAGTGCTTTGGCTTTTGTCACTCCCATGCAAGAACAACTTCACTTGTTTAATTCTTTGTGGTTTTTGAGTTTTTCGAGGTGGCCGTTCTCATCCTTATGGCATAGGGCTGAGCAGCTGGCCTTTAGCTGCTACTTTTTTTTCTTGCTCCCGAGCTGATAAAATAAGGGACTGGGTTTCAGTTACCTGACTGCGTCCACACACTGCTGTTTCTATGCTATGAATGACCAGTATGCTGTTCCTGGCCATGATGGACTGAGAGATTTAAAAAAAAAAAAAAAAAATCCTAATCTGAATTTTTTTTAATGGTTCTTAAATGTATTTTAAATTAAAAAATAAGCCAAGTCATCCTGTGGTCAGCAATTTGGCTTTGGGCTTTTTTTTTTTTTTCTTTTTTAACCAAGTCTGAAAATTAGCTTAATGTGGTTCTTTTCTTTTCTTTTTTTGACATTGCTGTTCACTTTCCCTGGAAATTAAAAAAAAAAAATAGTGATTGATGTATAACAAGAGGTTAAATCAGGGTGAAACTCTGCCTTGCTGCTGTTGTGATTTCCCTAGGTAATGTGTGGGGGTGGGTGGGGGGAGGATCCTGCTCTCTTTGGTAAACTTTGGTCTTGTAGGATGCATTCCAGAGGACAAGCTTGCTGGCTTTGAGTGTGGGGTCTTGCCAGATTTGGGTCTGGGGTCTATGACGAAATGAAAAGTCCATTCATTCATTTTCATCAATGACTAGTCCCTTTTAGGAACCACTAAGCCCATGTAGTCACCTTTGAACACTTGCATTTGGGAATGGAAACCTGTTCACACCTTGACCTTGCTTCTTTTCTCTTGCTTCCCCCTGCCCCTGCCTCCATGAAACGTTTCCAGGGATGGGGCCTGGTGCACGGATGGGAAACTTTCTTTTATTGACTGTCAAAAGGAGTAAATTCCACACAACTTGGCTTTTACTACACGCATGTTTTAAAAACCAGCCCAACCTCCTTCAGATCAAGATCAGGATGTTGTTCTCATTTGAGAAGTTGTAGAGTCTGCATTGCCAGGATCTGGCTATCTTAAGGTTTTATCATTTTTCCCCCAGGAATTGTTTTTCCCTTTTATATAACTGGGTAAGTTGGGGCATTTTATAAAGGTAACACTTATGTATTGGCAGGAGAGACTCTTCTATGGATAATGTGATGGTACAGCTTGTGGATTTGCGAATTATTAGGTGTTTTAGAGATGTGCCTCCAGCTGCAGGAATCCAGTGGTGCAGGGCTGGCCCCTGCACTAAATGAGGGCTGGAGAAAAGGCTGGAAGGCATCGCACCTGCAACAGCACAAAGAGATCCTTAAAAATGCCAACATGTTTTAGATCATGGGTGTGTGAATTATCTACATTTATGACACACTTTTCAAATCATCAGTCGCTGGTGTCATGTTGGTACACAATGATTATGATATATGTACAATTTCAAGTCCTCTGAGATCCTGCACTGAGCAGCTCGCTTGTCTAGCCACTTTACTTGCATGCAGGAGTGAAGCAAAGCAGCAGTGTGTTCGGATAAATACTTTTAAAAACAATATGTCGTTGCAACTTTGCAAGCTGTTCTCAAGGCATGTATTGTGAACCTGACTTCCTTCGGCGTCCTTCCCTCTCTGCTCATTTTAGTCTTGACTTCTTGCTCCTATGCGCTGAGCGACGCTTGGGTCACTTCGGGGAAATGGCAGTGCTCAAAGGACAAGGTAGGCAATGCACTGTAGGTTTCGTTTTTTTTCAGACTTCCTTGTCAGGCAACGGGTAATGCTTTCCCAGCCTCTGCAGGTTGAAAACTAACTTCCTATTTTTCTGAACCTGGTCCTGTTGTATGCTGTGGGCATACACTGGTATCAATGATGATCTCAATTTTGTTTTTCTGCACCATCTTCTTAACTATCGTTCTTAATGTCCTCATCCCCACCCCAAAAAGAAAAATCCCCCCCCACCCAATAGCATCAGAAACACGTGAATCCCTTTTTTCCCTGCTCAAATACTGGGATCCCGAACACATTGCTCTCCACTGCGAACTGGTTACTCCAGCTCTTGCAGACCTGGCTCACAATGAAAAGGGTTTGAATGGTATTAAATGCAGGCTTAAAACTATATTGCATCTGTGAACATTTTAAGGATGATTATTTTATACATCCATGTTGGATTCAGTGATGGTTCCTACAGTAAACACCTCTTCTGTCATATCAAAACATTGGTCTTTGAGGCTAAATCTAGGGCAAAGTTAAAACAAAGTAAAAACGAGTAATTTAAGCAAGGCTTCTGAGCCTTTTAAGCTCCCCCCCAGCCGCCTTCATCCTCCAGACTGATGTTACAGGATCAACCAAAGGAGCTCTTAACAGTGAAGATCCAGAGTTTTATTTTTGGGTTGACAGAACAATGCATTTTGGCTCCAGAATAACTCTTTAGGTTGCATACGTCTGGAAAGGAGGGCTTGTAGAGAAGCTCATCCTCAGCTATAAATATTACATTGCCAGGCTTCTCTCTAATAAATGAAAATAGAAAGTTAGGCTTGCTTCTGGTTTGTCGGTGCACTTCATTGTATGATCAGAATTTGACCGTATGAATTTTAGCCTTGGGCTTATTTTTCTGGACCCCTAAATATAATTTTTCATGGGCTTAAAAGTGTCCCTGAATCAGTGGTACAAGAGGGAAGGGAGAGAACATATGCCAGACTCTTCCCAATCTTAAATCTGAACCTTCCCGAATCATGATTTCTGAAATACTTCTCAATCTGCAACTGGAGAAAATATTTTGTCCTGAGCAAAAATAAATGTTCCATATGAACTGCCAGATTGCTTCAATGCCATTTGCTGGATCCCAACCTTCCTTGCATACATCTTTCCTTGTAGTTGTTAGTAGTGGGAGCCTCCCAACATTTGGGATGTTTGGCATTTTCTAGCTATTGGCACCACCACTTTTGTCCTGGGATTATACAGAAAAGATCCTTGTTAGACCCTACCTGAACTCCCCAGTGCTAAAGCATAAATTCAGACTTTCAAGGTAAGGTAGCCAGGGGAAGTATCAGTCACTCTTGGCCCTTGTTTTGCTCCCCGTATGTCCTCGGCTTCAGTGGATGTGCGTGGACTTTTTTTCTAGCCATTGCAAAATCATCGTTTAAAGTTTGATTATGAGCAGAGTTGCACAGGGTTAGCTCATCTGTTCCCAAGCTGTAGTTAGTAAGTCTTGGAAGAGCTGCCGAGTGCTTTCTGGTGGTCTGCAGGTCGTTGCCTGCTCCCATATTGCTGGCCACTCCTTATTTCTAGCTGCTAAAGTGCACTAAAAGACAGCTAAAAACAAATTAAGTACTTTCCTTATACGTTACCATAAAGCAGTTGCTCTGCTTGCTACAGAGATGTTGTGACTCCCGAGTGGGAGAGGACATGGTCTGTGGGATCGTGAGTGTAGACAGGCGGTCGACAGGATGGCGCGTTTTCAAGAGGATCTGTGCTTTGCGGGCAGGAGAGACGGATTTCTGCTTTGACCTTTTGTGACAACCTGCAAACAGCCTCCTCTTCCATCATTAGCCCCAGTTGTTATCCCTTCCTCACCCTTTTGGTTTAAGCATGCTCCTAACATTGTACATCTAGCTGCTGCTTTGGCCCGACTCCTTGCGTGGACCGGTTACTTCACTTTTTGAATAGGTTTTTCCAAGAGCATCTGGCCCAAGGAATCCTTTGATGCTTCAGAAAGTATCTTTCCATCTCTGTCCTCTCCCAGCATTGGGCACTGTGTTGATCCCACACTCTTCATTTACAGCTCACTAAACGAGCAGTGAAAATGCTATAACACCCACGGTTCGGGGGTGCTGGGTCTAAAGACCTAGGCAGACATAGTTCTTTGGGTAGGTCGGTGCAATATTTTTTTATTAGACCAACTAAATACTTGGAAAAATTGTTCTTTGCAAGCTTTTGGGCACACCATTCTTCAGGCAGAGGAAGAGTCTACATCTGGGATCCCTCTGCCTGAAAAAGGGTGTTTGTATCCAAAGAACAATTTTTTCCAGGTATTTAGTTGGTCTAATAAAAGAGATCGCATTTACCCAAACAACCTTGTCTGAAAATTGTATAGCATACAAAAGCAGCATGACTTGCTGACTAGCACCTTTAAGGTTTTGGGGTGTGGGGGTGTGACATCTGTTTTCAGCTAGTGTAAATTTGAAATCCTCCATTTGAAATGGGCTGTCACCAGGGTGGCTTTTTGCGTGTCACCTGGGAGGCGTAGTTGCTGGAGGTGAGATCTGGCCAAGTCTCCCAACTGCGGACCCAGGTATTCAATGATGTGATCATGGCATATCTTTACTGGACCACTCCGCCGTTGCATGTAGTGTTGTTGCTTTGGGGGTGTCATGTAGTTTTGGTTTGTAGTTCACATTTTGCAGGACTTAATCAGTTTGGAGATCATTGCAGACCTGTTACCAGGAATCTGGCCATTCTGGGCTGGGCTGCGCATCTGGAAAAGTTGGCCCGAAAGGATGAATTTCCCAAATCTTTAACTGGAACTTACCAACTTTTTCCTGTTCTGTAACTTTCCCCTACAGTGGCAAAGGAAAGCGAACAGATAATTGTTCCAGCATCTCCCATCCCTTTGTCATCTTTGCAAATGGGAGGCGTTCTGGGCAGTATGGGATAGGAGTTTGTCATACACATCCCTGTGGGAAAAGACACTGGCTGAATCAAACCAGGTTTGTCTTTTTCGGTTTTGCTTTTTTTTTGTGGGGGTGAGGGTTGGGGGGAGAACTTTTTCTTAGGATTTTGGAGCATTTGTGTTGCCACTTTTTCCAACAGGGAAAAAAAGCACCTTGGTGTTTGACAGGCTGGTATAGAAAATGACCCAAAAGAGGGTTTTTTGGGGGGGGGGGGTTTCGTTCAATTCAAGGACCACTGCATTGCTCTGTGCAAATTTGTGCATGTCATGTACACATGAGCTGTAAGTCTGCATCCCAGTATCCTGCAGATCACTATCCTCTTTTCTACTTAAAACCTTCAGTGGCCCCTTACTAGCTTTTGAACCCAACCCTTGCTCTAACCTGCTGCAGGGCTGTTTCACACTCGTGGCTCTGGGAGTTACCGTTCAGACCAAGGCATTTCCACCCTGACCTCTGCCCATCATGGCAACGAACACTTGTAGGTTATATAGGAGAGTGAGTCTGCCGATGATGTGGGAGAGGAAACCCTAGGACCTGCTTTTTAATGTATATGTATTGTAGATACAGACATTGAATTTCATCGCTGTCATCTAGCTAGACCCTGCTGGTCACAGGAGGCCCCGGAAAACGATCCGTGTGGTCTGTGTGGGGCTGAGGAAGGGGTGGGAAAGCAGTCATGCTGGGCTGGAATATGGGACCACTTCGGATGGTAGCTGAGTTTTGCCATTTTCTCGCCATGCCCACGCGTGAACTAAAAACTCACATCATACATCAGGGCTGTCTGAGTGCCAGCCTGCAAGCAGCATGCAGCCCGCGTGTACGCCCCCCCAAGCTACACCATGTGCCCAGGCTCCCCTTTGGCCCCCCAGGCCATGCCCCCCACCCTCCATTGCTTAGCCTGAGCTTCTCTCTGCCTGTCCCCACCTCAGGGGCATGGCCGGGGGGCAAAGGGGAGCCTGGGCACATGATGCAGCTGGAAGGTAGGGGGTGTGCATGGCATGGGGGGGAGGTGGGCAGCAGGCACACAGTGCAACAGGGATTTTTCAGATAGAGATCCACAGCTGTGGTCTTTCAGAGGGCTTTGCAACAGGAAAACTGCTGTATTA